AACCTCCCTTATTTTGAAATAATAAGCAGAGCATACACCCTACCAAGCCCGTTATTTTGAAATAACAGGCTGGTTATTTCAAAATCTGTACTCCTGCTTTCCTTGAGGAATAAACTTATTTCAAAATAGTTATTGCAGGAGTTATTATTTTTAATGTATTTATTTTGAAATAATTTCCTAGTATAGACATGCCTTATGGTGCCACAGGGTCGCTCATTGTTTTTAAAGTTACAGACTAACACGGCTTCCTTCTGAGACTTATTCTTGTAAACCTTAAGTTCCCTGCCCCCTCCCTTGAGGTCTGAAGTGAAAAATGTCACTAGGTAACCTATTTGTCACAGAATTTCTCAAACCCAATCTCATGTATCTCTGAATTATTTCTTGTCTCACACTTAAAAAAAAAATCTCTTACCACAAGCACATTTTGTAAATTCATGCAGGGATGTTGTGATCTTGGCCTCCTTTCGGTGTTGATGAATGCTAAAAATTTCCTTATGAAAAAGTCAGTGTGTGGCTTTAGCTAAAGCCATGGGAAATACACATAAAGACTGCAAAAATCCTCTCTGGCCTTCTCAGCATGCTCAGTGTGATAGGCAATACATTAATTATTGGAGGCCCTGGGCTTCCATAAATACAGGGCTATACGTTGCTATAAGTTGCCCCAGTATACATCTGTTCCACACTAAAGTCGCTGACGCTTGTAGGAACTTATGCATTATAAGTCTTCCCATTTCCCGCACTTAAGTCGTGCCAAAAAAAATAGTCAGCCATGAGAAAAAAAATCCCCTCTTTAAGTTGTTTTGTGATAAGTCCATGTTCTTTGGAACATATCATGGATTTATAGCGAGGATGGCCTTCACAGGCTGACAGACGAGTGGTGATTTTTGTGATATAAATAGATGGTCTTTTAATGACCCAGGTGGCTTTTATGGGGATTTGAATGGCTGCAGACTTTGGATGCTCAGGACACATTTCCCAGGCCAGTGATAACCTGCATTAACCTTTGTTCCCCTCCAGCCTAATCTGGCCAAAAAGGGTAGCTTTTTAGTCCTGCTTTAAGGTTTGAAGAGAACAGTCATACCATAAAGTGACAGGATTTAAGGAAATTGTTCTGTGTGTCACATAAAAATAACAAGGCCTTCCAACACCCTACTATTTCGCTAAAACATTCCTCGCAGGATTATTCTAATCATTCATTTCTAACCTAGAATATTTTAAAGGCTTTGGTGATTACTCTGTGTATCTGAATTCTGGGAAATTATTAGCTGGAGTCTTATTCTAATTGACTTCTTCAGAGCTCATGTTCCTGGAAGCAATAACTCAATAAAGCATCTGCATTTCATGGTAACAAGGCTATTGGTTGGCTTTAATCACTGAGGAAATAAAGCCCAGTTCCAAATAGTTTAGCAGTACTGACATTTTAAAATGGTAGCAATTGAGGTATTTGTATTCTTTGGCAAGCAAGGCTCAAACAAACTATATCTACTTTAATATGGCCAAATTAGGGTTACCAGATGGCTTTCAAAAAAATACTGGACACACACAATCTCAGAATGGGAGGGGGGGGGCTGATTGGCAGGCGGTCATGGGGATCGGGGCTGGCCGTGGGAGATCAGGGGAAGGAACCGGCCAGCAGGAAGCAGGGCTGGCCGGAAGGGGGTCAGGAGGAGCACGGCTGGCCAGGGGGGATCGGGGGGAGGGCCCAGCTGGCGGGAAGCAGGGCTGGCTGGGGAGGGGGTG